ACATGACAAATAATATCATTAGCTTGTGTCCGATGAAAAAATGGTACCACCCCACCTCCCGATACACACCCAGAGTGGCCTAGATGTTAATTACTTGGACAATGGACTGAAACTGATCAATTAAATTCATAATTAAATGAGAAAAAAAAAACAGACCACGTTAGTGCAAGTGTACGGCACAGTAAATATTGAAGGGTCAACACTTGAACACAGTAACAGTCTTTTAACAAATATTGAATGAGAGTAATCGATAAAGTAATTTTGTTTGATCATAAATTGGCAGTAGCGCATGGAGGCAGTTTCTTTCGGACAATTTCCTAAAGGGGGGCATCTAAGATTTTTGGATGGGGGGAAGTACCGGTGGCCAGATGCGTAGCTAAGGGGTGGCAGATAGGACAGAGGTCAACAGGGATGCCAAAATGGGCTTTGAATGATATTTATGGTTGAAAATAATGGATTTCAGAATTGGGGAGGGGTGGTATGTAAACATGAATCTCGTCACCCGGACGTTGTCACTTGTTCTTCACGTGGAATTGCGGAATTTTCCTCCAACTGCAGAGTTCATATCGTGAAATGGAGAGTGGGACTCTAACCCTTGGCACGCCACTAGGCAGTGTAGCTATCGGCATCCAAACTCCTGATCGTTTTCATCGGGAAGCAGGGCGAAAATCGAGGGTGCCGATGAATCTTGAGAGGAAGAGGTATCTGGAGACGGCTCTCCCCAGAAAAGTTTTTATTATATCAAAATCAAGCGGTGCATTTTGGAGCATACTTGAATTCAGTGATTCTATTTGACTTCCTGATCGGGGCAAGGAAATTGTTAAGGGTCTCAGAGAGGCGCACTGTGCCATAAATAATCTGAAATTACTTCGGTTTGTGGCGTGCTACAGGGTAATCATATGGCCCAGACTCATATTCAGCCCCATACTGTAACATTGATCAGCGTGAGGGAAGGTAGTTGCTCAAAAATAGGGTGCTTAGACGGTTTGGGAAAATTCAAAATGCAGGGGTGCATATTGGGGCATACTTGAATTCGGTGTTTCTTTCAGACAATTCTGAGATGGCGTGTCGAAATTGCGGGTGGGAAGCCCCAAAATTAGCCATTATAATGATCAAGAAATCTATAACTACGCACCAGCAGGACATGAATTAAAATCATTCCAGTTGTGTCACCCTTGAGAGTATGCTTTAGCAGCTATATTATTCCCCCCCTTAAATCAGAGGCGTAGCGTGGTGGGGGCAGGAGGGGACAGATGTCCCCGGGCGCCAGCTAGTTAGGGGCGCCAAAATGTACTTTGATATTATTTTATTGATGAAAATAATGGGTTTTAGAGTTGAAAAAAAGAAAAAGGGGCGCTAAAAATGGATCTTGTCCCCGAGCGCGAATCTTGTCCCGGACGCCAAACACCCTCGCTACGCCACTGCCTTAAATTGTCATACAACAATGCATTCACAAGCATCTTTTAAAAAAAATATTTCTACTATATTCTCGACTAGATTTGTTTTTTACTCCATGCAAATAGGTTGGGCTATTCGTTTATTATTCTCATATTAAAAATGCTAAAGAATTTGGTAATTGAATTAAATTAGGCTAAGTATTAACCCACCCCCCCAACCTAAAGACAACCAAAAAAAAACAACAACAAAGAAACAAATAAAAACCTCCGTTGTTCAGGAAGCTTTGTTACAAAAGTGGCACATTTAAAGAAAACATTAACGCTTTTAAATTTAAAAAAAAAAAAATTTGACGAGACGTGCACTAGTTGTATCCGCCCGTTAAATTCTTTTATTGAAACAAAATATATAAATATACATCACTTTTTAAAAAAGTTTTCATTTTTATCTAATTCAACTTACATGGATTGGAGTACATTAAAATTATATTATACTATTTATAATTTACCCCTATCCCTACTTTAAAAGTAATGCTTTTATGATAAAATATAATTTGAAAACAGATTGCACGTGTCTTATGCTTAGCAAGAACTTTTATACAAACTGTTGATCTTGATATTAATGTCAGGTTATTTTAATACAGTTTTATGAGAGTCTTTCAACTTTTCAAGTTGCCAAAAAAAACAAAAAAACAACAAAACAACAAGAATTTATGCGAACAATGAGAGCGGCTCCTAATTAGGAGCCGTCAGTACGATATTTATAATCGCGCACGTTAGCTCTCCACCCAGCCACCCTTAGCCTCCCACCCTAAGTCCTCCACGCAGTCACCGTCATCCATCAACTCAGCCACCCTTATTCCTCCACGCAGTCACCCTCAGCCCTCAACTCAGCCACCCTTAGTCCTCCACGCAGTCACCCTCAGCCCTCAACTCAGCCACCCTTAGTTCTCCACTCCCAGCCCTCAAATTAGCCACACTTAGTCCTCCACGCAGTCACCCTCAGCCCTCAACTCAGCCACCCTTAGTTCTCCACTCCCAGCCCTCAACTCAGCCACACTTAGTCCTCCACGCAGTCACCCTCAGCCCTCAACTCAGGCACCCTTAGTTCTCCACTCCCAGCCCTCAACTCAGCCACACTTAGTCCTCCACGCAGTCACCCTCAACGTTAGAACCGAAGAATAAGAAATTGCCGCTTAACACTCGCCTCCGTCAAAACTAAAACAAACAAAAATTCATTAAAAAAAACCTTCTCTCTCTTATTGGTTTTAATGCCTATTTAATAATTATATATCATAACCCCTAAGATACACCATTGACTACTGAATCACCATTGACGATCGAACTCGGGTGCAGGAATAGATTAGTTTACGCCCAAATTAACGTTTGAAAAATAGGAATTTCTATTTTGGACAGGACTAATATCTTGGATTTCTGTGGACTCGGAAAAACTTTCTTTAAACAGATGCTTGGTTGCATCATAGTACACACCATTATACAAATTATTTTCTAGAAATGTGAATATTGGAAACTAATGGATTCCAGAGGTGTCACTGAGAGAGTGCTAGGCGTTGCGGACCGCATCGAGTGACACACCATCAGGGGGTCACACCAAGTGGAAAAGTCATATCTAAGTTAAACAGAAAGACAAAGTGCCGTTAAAACAGGGTGCCATCAGAATAGTGTGCCATCAGAATAGGGTGCCATCAGAATAGGGTGCCATCAGAATAGGGTGCCATCAGAATAGGGTGCCATCAGAATAGGGTGCCATCAGAATAGGGTGCCATCAGAATAGGGTGCCATCAGAATAGGGTGCCATCAGTTGAGGATACCACCAGAGCAGGGTGTCATCCGACGCACATTTTCTGACGTCACGTGTCAGGGTTTGTACAGAATAAGTCCAATTCAAAAGATGTTCTACTAACTCATCCAACACAACTGTGTTGATGACATTTTTAATCCTCCTTTCTGAGTAGATCATTAACTCAATGAACTCGACGGTGCGACACACAGATTGTCAACTTACATGACGTCAAAAGACGGCAGGAACTCGGCATTCTTCGGAAGCACGAAGCCCATGCCGCCAGTGTTGAACACGTCGTCAGCAAGGGCGTAGGTCTCACAGTTGGTCATGACGATGTACTCAAGCTGAGACCTGCACCAATCAAAAACAGTTAATGTTTACACCAGAGCCGTATGCCCTGCCGATGTGATAACTATATAAAAAAAGGATAAACCAATTTGAAGAAAATCGAATGTTCGTTTTGCTGTTTACGTATCCAGGTAACAGATTATTCGATACTAAAATGTAATATATGAATTGATAATTTAAAAAGACCCCACCCCCACCCACCCGCCCCCCGACCCGCCTTTTTTTCTCTCTCTTTTTCTCTTTCCTTTTATCCTCATTTATTTCCTATTTATTCTTCCCTCTCTATATAATTCTCACAGTCTCGTTTAACAGGTCATCCACAAAGCTTTAGGAGTCCATGGTAATATGAATTTGATGCTTGCAATAAAGACTTTCATTGGATATTCTTGTCTTGTTCTAAATGATTTCAGCGAATCATTTGAATTGCCGTATGCTCTTACATATTATATTATTTATAAGAACGTTTCCATCAGCGGTTCAAAGGATTTGGTTTCCGTCTGAACAGTTGCGCCGTAACAATAAATTGGATCATGATTTATAAATAGGCAAACTTTTTTTTTGCTTTGAGCGATAAATTGATTGTTTTTTTTTTTTTGCCCAAGCTAAAATTTCAATTTTTATTTTATTTTAAAATGAATACAATTTTATGAAATCGCTGCTCTTCAGTCGAATGTAATGCATTTAAAAAAAAAAAATAAATTTTATATTTTTTTTTGCTTTGAGCGATAAATTGATTTTTTTTTTTTTTTTTTGCCCAAGCTAAAATTTCAATTTTTATTTTATTTTAAAATGAATACAATTTTATGAAATCGCTGCTCTTCAGTCGAATGTAATGCATTTAAAAAAAAAAAATACATTTTATCGTGCTAATGTTGATACGCTTTGCCAAATGAGATTTGGTGACCTAAAAGACCAATCTTTTCAATGCAATAATTTAAAGCTGATTCAATATGCATATCCACCTCCAGGCTATTTTTGGGAGCACTTCACCTGAATCTTAGTAATACGGGCAAAATTTGTGATCAACGAAAGTTGATGGAATCTATGACAGTACTAAATGAGAAAATATCAAATGTCGAGCTAGGTCGGAGTACGTTGCACGGGGGTATATTTGTTTGTGCCAGGAAAGGCGGGAGAGAATTTGGGACATACTTTGGGAGAGAATTTGGTATATAATTTGGGAGGGAATTAGAGAGACAACTCGGTATAAATTTCGGGAGATAGTGTTGGACATACTTTGGGAGATAATTTGGGACATAATTTGGGTTATAATTTGGGTCATACTTTGGTACATAATTTGGGTCATACTTTGGTACATAATTTGAGAGATATTTTAGTGATAATATGGGAGATCATTTTGGAGATAATTTTGGAAATAATTTGAGAGATAATTTGGGAGAGAATTGGGGAATCGGTCAACTTTCAACTTGGGATAGAGCAACATATACCAACCTGTCAGTCATGAAGGCTGTGTCCCTAGTTCTGACCAGCTCTAACGCCTGTTCATTGGTGATTACAATTAGGCCGCTTTCAATCTTCATGTGCCAGATTTTCCTATAAATGCTGTCTTTGGCCTCCTGGTATCGCGAGAGCGTAGTTGATGTGAGATCAAACGATGAGAAAATGCTTTGTATTTAAATAACTTTAACTTGTGTAAAAAAAATATGATGCAACGATATAGAGGCCCAACAAAAAAAGAGAGAAAAAAGGGATACCAGATAAGAAATTTGATGTTGTTTGTCGAGACAAAGAAAAAAGATCCCCACCTGTAAGAGAGTTTCGAGATTGCTCCCAACCTTCACAAGGGGCTTGATCTCTGATTGGCTGGCCAACTCAGCAAGGCTGTTGATTGGTTTGTCGTAGATTGTAATCGTCAGCACCGCCGCCATGTTGGCAGTGTAGGTGGAGACGAGGATGATGGTGAACACCCACCAAAACCCTAACACGATACGACCAGAGCTGGATTTAGGCTGGAACTCAGAGCCTAAAGAAAATCAAGGGGAAGCAGATGGCTCATTATATTTTTAAAAACAAAATTTAAGATCCTTAGAGGAAGAAGAAATTACATTTGTATTCAGTACTGTAGCATAACTGCGCTTCAATTGACTGTAATACTGCGCTTCACAGAACTTTAAAATACATGTACATTTGACTATATTTAAAAAATTATGAGAAACTGGTGTAAGAAAGAGAAAGGAACAGGGAAGCGATGAGAGGGCGAGAAGGGCAGAGAGGAGAAGGTCAGAGAAAGAGAGGGAAACAGGGAGGGGCAGCGTGAAGAATAGAGATACAGTGGAAGGGGGATAGACGAGGGAGAGGAGAGAGCGGGGGATAGAGAGATAGAGAGGATGTGTATATGTGTGTGTCTAAGAGAGAGAGAGAGAGAGAGAGAGAGAGAAAGAGAGAGTAAGAGAAATTGAGAGAGTAAGAGAGAGCGAGCGAGAAGGAACGTGTAAGCAGTTGTTTCACAGACCTTGACTGAGTGTTGAGCCCAATGCTGACCAGAAACACTGAAATACTCGTAACTGTTGGGCCTCCGTGGTGCAGGAATTCGGTTGTGAGTAAGGACTCCAATGGTTGACCAAATATATAACAAATGAAATACCAATCACTGAAGCACAAAGACAAGCCCAGACCATAGGCTGTGGAAACAGGACATACAGATACATCTTGTTCATTATTAAATTACAAAAATAAAAAAAATACTCATAAATAACACAGGCAAACCAAGTGCACGTTAGACATAGCAACATAATAAACTTTACAAGTTTTATCGAGTTGTGAATTATTATGTAAAAAAACCTGTACTTATTCGTGAAAACAAACTACTGAAAATGCCATCTATTCCTTTAATCGATTAATTAATCCTTATTAATTACAAGCCTCAATGTTTGACTTTAGAGCTCTGCCCTAGTGTCACGTTAAGGGAAAGAATTTTACGTATTTCTAAAAAAAAAAAGGGGGGGGTGGACAACATGTTTATGGTGTGAATTCCTAACTGCGCATGATTTGACTACACTTGGAAGTGGGGTTACCTCCAGGAGACAATGTCCACACACAGACACACACACAGACACACACACACACACTCACACAAACACACACACACAATAACTATAATCGTGTGTTTCAGTTACTTCACTCACTATAATTCGTTACCTGCATCGCTTTAAATAATCTAAACATTGTGTCGGAACCAATGTCAGGCTTTTTGGTGATAATCCCAACGCCGTCTTCCATGAAGGGTGTGGTGAAATCGATTACCACAGACCTGGGCGCTGTAATCGATAAAGGTCCCACAGCAAAGTCGACTTCCTAAAACACAAGCATCACACGGACATGTATAAGAGTAAAAGTTTGAATTGTAATGTTGTGAAAAATACATACAAAACAGGTTTGAATGAATTAATATAGATTAAATTAGAACATCGTGGTTAGAACCTGTTTCAAATTCCATAACATTTAAAACCTATTCTTTGTGAGTACCTATTCCCCACCCACCCATCCCCCAGCAAGGAAAGGGCCAAAGATCCATTTACCTTTCTTTTGAACATTCTGTTTACCTTCCCTATGCATATTTAGGCGCATTGCAGGTAGGCCAGATACCCTTGGGCGCCACATACAGGGGATCCAAAAAATAATCAATTTCTATTAATTTAGCAGTTATTCACAACTCTCTCAAAGTTTACACTACACAAATTATACACGTTAATAGTATACAACCAGTATATATTTTGTTTATATCCTTTGGATTTAACTTGCTAAGGTATTAAACAGGCTTCCTAATTAAGCACTACAAAGTCTTTCAAAATAATCTCAAAACTGAGAGAATGGCTGATGAAAATTACACAATTTTTCTGCCCCCCCCTTTTTATGGGTGACAAATACCCTTGTTACGCCCCTGGATTTACCTTTCATATCACCAATCTATATACCTTCCCTATCACCATTCTATTTACCTTCCTTATCACCATTCTATTTACCTTCCCAATTACCATTCTGTTTACCTTCCCTATCACCATTTTATTGACCTTCCCTATCACCATTCTATTTACCTTCCGTATCACCATTCTATTTACCTTCCATATCACCAATCTATATACATTCCCTATCACCATTCTATTTACCTTCCGTATCACCATTCTATTTACCTTCCATATCACCAATCTATATACATTCCCTATCACCATTCTATTTACCTTCCGTATCACCATTCTATTTACCTTCCCTATCACCAATCTATATACCTTCCTTATCACCATTCTATTTATTTTCCCTATCACCATTCTATTTACCTTCCTTATCACCAATCTACATACCTTCCCTATCACCATTCTATTTACCTTCCGTATCACCATTCTATTTACCTTCCTTATCACCAATCTATATACATTCCCTATCACCATTCTATTTACCTTCCGTATCACCATTCCATTTACCTTCCCTATCACCAATCTACATACCTTCCCTATCACCATTCTATTTATTTTCCCTATCACCATTCTATTTACCTTCCTTATCACCATTCCAATAAGCCCACTCCAGTTTCCGTTCCCAGCAGGCGCTCCAGTAAGACCGTCTTTAGGTTCTACAATCTTGTAACTGAGAAGTTTAAAAAAAAATACACTAGTTAGCTATTGTTATGGGTGAAATTTCCTCACTGAAATTAAATTCTACTAATGTAAATAAATGAGAGCGCCACGAATTAGTTCAGAAATAATTTTCTTTAAAAACCCATCAACAAAGAATTGCTTGCAGTGCATCCATCAGTAATGGCCTGACAGAATTGATCCTAACCACAGGAATGTTGGACGGCATCTCTTAGTTCTCAAGCTTATATTGACACGAACACTTTCAACACAACAACAACAACAAAAAAAAAGATCCCTTTTAATTTAATTTTTCTCCTTTCAATCCAAAGTAAGCATTCGTGAGTACTTACGTAAATTTCAATCTCGTGGCAAGCTCTTGGACAATGGAAATGCAAAACCCTTCGAAAACTGTTTGATTTCCCTGGCGTTTCTTCAGAAGGAAAGGTGGGGCCTAGAGGAAAGTAAGAAACGAATTGCAACTTGTTCACCGCTGGTTTACATGAAATATATATTCAAATAGTTCTAAGGTTCAGATGACATCTAATTGGCTTTAATAGCAGTCATAACTTAAAAATGAGCGATTGTCAGGAAAAAGAAAAAAAAGAGAGAGAGAGAGAGAGAGAGAGAGAGAGAGAGAGAGAGAGAGAGAGAGAGAGAGAGAGAGAGAGAGAGAGATAGATAATAAAGAACATAGTCACCTCTTTTGCGGCAATCAACAGCTGACGGCCCCCGAAGTCCCTAAATGTGTTACTAAATAGACTGGAGTCAGCTGGAAAATTATCTGGTGAGGCAGGGCTCCATGATCCAACGGTTCTGACAGTTGAACAGATAGAGAATAATTTGAAGCGAATGTATCGAACTCGATTTCAGTAAATGTCATTTGGTCTCCATAATTTAAAAGTAATAAAAAATATATTTGTAATTTTAAGAAAATGGCTTATTTGATCAGTTTGATACCAGGGAGATCAAATAATTTTTTTTTTTTTTAAATATTTGTGCTGTTTATACACACGATCGATAGTATATTTACCCAAAACCTTTTGGACTCGCTTTGTCTGTACTGCAAAACTCGAATCCAGCGCTAGCGACACGTCCTGTTGAAGGGTCGAATATGACAGTCCCCACATCTGTGCGTATTCTTGCCTTAAAAAATGTAACTCATTAACAATAAACCTGTTACATCTCAAAAAGAGTCATTCATATACGCCAGGGGGTCTCCAAACTATTGGCCCTCGGGCCGGATGCGGCCCGCGAGGCCTTCTGAACCGGCCCGTGGAGACCTTTTTGTGTACGGACAAAAATTACGGAAATTTACGTGTATCCTGCCAAGATCAGCTGCGCCGCTTACGTGGACGTTATGTTTTTACCGAATTAAAATAGAGGCGCAGTGATGCGTTATGTTTTCCAACCGGCTGAATTTAAGAACAAAATTGTCCGATGATAATCTCAGGTCACTGCTGGTGTTAGGGGCATCAACTGTTGATGTTAGGGACATCAAATCTCAAGCCAGATATGTCTGCTATTTTGGCATACAGGAAATGATTTCACCATTCCCACTAATACAGGTGTTCATGTAAAGTGTATCAATGCGTTAATAAATATTAACTGAATAAAATAATATTGAATAAATTATTAAAAACAACATCCATGTTTTGAATCTTTTTTATTTGGACCTCGAGTGTGTAGTCAAACTGCTGTTTGATAGCTAATGTGGCCCTCGGGCTGAAAAGTTCGGAGACCTCTGATATACACTATGCAAGTTATATCTCAAAAAGTCACATTCATTGACACTAAACCTGATACATCTTAATTATGTGTCATTCATAGATATTAAAGCTATGATATGTAAAAAAAGTGGCATTCCTTGACACTAAACCTGTAACATCTCAACACGTCTCATTCATTGACATTAAACTTATTACATTTAAAAAGTGTCATTTATGGATGCTAAACATGATACATCTCAAAAAATATAACTCATAGTTACTTTAAAAATTATAAACTCGCCTGCAAGAAATAAATCAATATTCTATGCCATAGCATGCATAATATATTATTCAAACTACATTGTCGTTAAAAAAAATAAGCCACTGTATGTCATTGCATTTAAAAAGACATGAAACTAGAAATTATACAAACCTATAGAACTTTGAAAAAATTTCAATATATTTCTAATGCTATTAGTTTAATGTAATTGTATTTGCAAAAGACAAGATCACAAAAAAAATGCATCATACACATCACGTAAGTATAAGATAGATGGAAAGCCAGGATATATGCACTGGTGCGCACCTTCCGCATGAGTTCAATAGCGGTGCGTCGTAAGGGAAGCAGTTTCTTGTCACACACCGATGGACTCCAATCCATCCCCAGTTCGTATTCCTCGGTAGCCGTAGCCGTGACCATAGCCTCGATACCAGCCGACAAAAGATCAGCTGTACTCTGGGGAGTACACACAAAATACACGCACTTTAAATAAACCTGCAGTACTCCCGTGCGCACTTTCGTCTTACGAATTAGTGAAATTTTCACAGGAGCAATAATTTTTAGCACATGAAACAAAATATAATATAACTTATAGCATCATTTATCACATCAGATGCCGATGGTCTCAAATGTGTCACTATAAACTTCTTGGTGAATGCTTAAATAAAACGTATTACAATCTCGCCCCCAAAACGCTGAACAAATGGATATTCTGTATTTATGACAATTGTCTTCAGACTTCAACTCATGGATGAGCATGACAACCCCCACCCCACACGTCGATGTTATAAACAGTGGCGACGCCATCAAATTTAACATGGCGGGTCCCTTGCAGGTCTTATAAAAATTTAGCGGGTCCCAAATAAATGTATTAAAAATAAAATTTATTTATTAAGTAATATTTATTGATCTACTACCTTAACCCAAAGTTTACATACATTGTCAATTGTCATAATAAATTTATTTGAATGTATCATATTTGTAAGGTCAATCACGTTTATCTAGAGAATCCACACTCGTGACACTCCACACTATTGACCCATTGACTCCAGATACACTGACACAGGACAGGCCAGTTTCATTTCAAAATAATTCTGCAGTTAGGATACATTTCCACCAATTTGTCCACCATAGGTTCCAAATCCAGTTCCTTGGTCCTCTGTGAATGTATCGATATTACAGCAATATTTGACAAGCGCTCGTCCAGTTCCTTGGCCCTCATTGAATGTAGCGATATTACAGCAATATTTGACAAGCGCTCGTCCAGTTTCTTGGCCCTCTGTGAATGTATCGATATTACAGCAATATTTGACAAGCGCTCGTCCAGTTTCTTGGCCCTTATTGAATGTAGCGATATTACAGCAATATTTGACAAGCGCTCGTCCAGTTCCTTGGCCCTTATTGAATGTAGCGATATTACAGCAATATTTGACAAGCGCTCGTCCAGTTTCTTGGCCCTCTGTGAATGTAGCGATATTACAGCAATATTTGACAAGCGCTCGTCCAGTTCCGTGGCCCTTATTGAATGTAGCGATATTACAGCAATATTTGACAAGCGCTCGTCCAGTTCCTTGGCCCTTATTGAATGTAGCGATATTACAGCAATATTTGACAAGCGCTCGTCAGTCATGGCTGTGCGAAGATGTGTTTTTAGTAAAGCTAGTTGACTGAATGATCTCTCTGCTTCTGCAGATGACACCGGTATCGTGCATCCAATTAGCAGAAGTCGTT